ATAATGATGCTTGTGACCACCCATGTCTCGAAGAAGGGGTCATAACAGGCATTAATCACCATTCACTAAAACCCATAGCCAATGGTGATATTTTTATAAATGAAAAATTTTCTGACGGAATTCTGTAGAAGTTAATTATATTCGAACTATTGTCCTCAACATTGTTGTTGTTTTAACAGGTAGGTTAGGTTTAAGGCTCCAAGTTGACTACAGCGATTTGTCTGACAACAGCCTAGTGGATAAAAGTGCTCGTTCGTGAATATGGTGAGATAGTAATTGTAAGTTCAATTTCTGCGCCTGACAGTGTGTACTTAGACTCAATATAAACGGGTAAGCAATAATTGAGCAGTACTAAAAATAAGACTGTGTAGATTAGATTGTGTGAGTGATTGTATTTATAATTCCTTGTAGGTTACCCGGATTAATATGAACCTGATGAAGGTCGGAGAGTACAATCTCCCAAATGTGATAAAAAACAACAAAGATGAGGATAACAGCACTTGACCCCTAGACAGCACTACCCCTTGAGGGGGTAGTGCTGTCTAGGTCAAGAGTGTGGCTGCTGGAAGATCCTATATCAGGCAATAGGATTTTGTACCGTGCCACACAAGCAAAAGATCCCGATCATGCCTGCCGGAGAACTTCCGCGATTACATCACCCACTTATATCTGGTCACCTAATTCCCCAGACTACAAGCCCCTTGATTATTATATGTGGGGCTCAGTTGAGCCAGAGACCAACAAAATTACTTGTAACACTTCAAATATACAAATCAACCATTCGCCCTTGCATGGAGTATTGCTGCCATATATGGTTTGGTGCACCTTCTGTTTACCTTGGAGTTCTTGACAAGTTCCAGGGACGGATATGTAATATAATTGGCCCTGATCTGGCGTCTCGTCTACAGTCACTTTCTCACAGACGCGCCGTCGCCTCTCTCTGTCTTTTCTACAAATACTTTCATGGTAATTGCTCCGATGAGCTGCTTTCACTGGTTCCCAGACTGCATGAATTCAAGCACCTTACGAGGCTGGCATCCCGCTCTCACCCTTACACTGTATAAACTTTTAAATGTAGCCGTCTCTTCTACTCCAATAGCTTCATACCTCGCACCTCTCGTCTGTGGAATACCCTTCCCTATTACTGTTTCCCTGAGAGCTATAATCTCCAACTATTCAAATGTAATGTCAATCGACATCTCCAGTTACCTTGATCTATCCACTATCCCTCTCCCCATCCTTTCCTCTATCACTCCTATCTGCTCTCGCTCCAAATCTTCTGCAACCCCCTGCATCCTCGTGGCTTCACGCCTTGCTCGGGGCGTAATGCTTAAAAAAAACAAAACAAAAAACACTAAAGATGAACTGAAGGCAAGGATTATGACAGCATTCACCAACTTAAACAAGGAGACAATCCAAAAAAGATGCAGGAGATTCTGATGTCGTCTGGATGCCATGGTTGACGCCAATGACGATTTTATTGAATAAATTTACTGTTTAGTATTTCAAGACATTTCTGTGTGATTTTGGTAAATATATCTATTAAAATGAAGTAACAATGTTATTTTTTTTCGCATAGTTTACACAATTTATCCATCGCACCCTGTATACCAAATTCAGACGTGGACAATTTTTATTTTTTTGTAATTAGGATGTCGTTTTCCTCCTTGTATAAGAACAAATATTGAAACCAGAACTTCAATCCACTCGTCCATTACCCCATGTAAATAATTACTCGTCAACTCAGAAATCCGCACACAAACACATTATATTTTACTAGTACCACACAAAATAAAGGAAATATTTTTATATGGTTGAAATTATGCATACGTAACATATATGAAACTTTGTTTAATTAGGAGATTATACAGCGCCAATTTTCCAAATGCTAAATTCCTATCCACCTTTTTTATATTATTTGAAATCCTGGCGTATCTCAATTTCAGACCATAAATCAAACAGCAAATATTAGGTACCTCCAGAGGATCACTAAAAAAAAAGAGCATAGCATGATGAAAAAGACGTCAAACTTGACGAAAACAAAATTTAATCGTCTAAATGTTTATGTTATTATTAATAGGAAAGATCAAAGTATTTGGGGGGGGGCATTTTTTTACATTTTTTAATCATTCCTAGCACGTCCGAAATTTTCGTTAAAAATCTTGTTTATTTTTGAGTCCGCAAAATTGACCATTTTTTTCCATTTTATAAAAAAACTGGAAATCTCACTTTGAAATTCTTTTAAATATCAATTATCATCTTTTCAAAACTTATTTTAAGAAAATCAGAAATTATAATGATTATTTAAAATATTTTGAACCAAGCTTAACTTAGCTTCTGCACCGAAAAGATGTAATTTGAAAATAAAAAAACAACAAAAAGCAAATAAAAGCATTTGATATTAAATAATATCTTTGTTTTATTGAGTTTTGTATACTACAATTCAGAGGTGATTTTCAGGTAAAGGGGGTCCAATTAAAAAAGAAAAAAACATGATTTGCATTCCTCAAAGCCTTGTGCTTTTAACTATTGTAATCACTAAACCTGACGCGATCGAATTTTTAGTGTTTTCATAAAATTAGTTATGGGGGTAATAAATATAGAAAAATATTTCTCTCATGGTTTTAATAAAAAAAAACATATTTATAATAATTTCCATCATTTATGAATAGTTTCTAAAAGTTTCATTAACATTCGACAATTATTTTTATTTTTGGAAGATTTTTCAAATTAATATGTGTCACACAAAAAAAAGCGCTAAAAATTGTCTATGTTATTTTACTGGTTCCGGTGATACAAAGAGAAAAAAAGTTTTTTTTTAATCAAAATTTAGAATATTCTAAATAGAAGGAAAAATATTTTTAAAATAATTAAAATAAACTTTGATCTTTCTTCTTAATAATAATGCATAATAAACATTTAGACGATAAAATTTTGTTTTCCTCAAATTTGGTGTCTTTTTCATCATGCTATGCTCTTTTCTTAGCGATCTCATGGAGGTATCTAAGCAAATATCCTTAGATTCGGAGAGGATCAATAATAATAATAATAATAATAATATATTAATAATAATATATTAATAATAATAATTCTCTGCCATATAAATCTTGGTGGATTTTAGAATTTGTTGGAACTTAACAAATTGATTAATGTTTTAAACTAATTTTGCAATAAAATGTTCATTGTTTTGTAATGAGGACGTTGTAACTTGTCCTTGAGACAGAACAAATATTATTATATCACCATATAGATGTGACCTCTGTAAATTATTATATCACCATATACACGAAAAAGAACTAGGCCATTGTCTTGTGTAAATAATAACTCCTCATCTAATTAAATTCGAATGCTATGAAGCAGGTGTATCTAGACGCTTTCCTTTTAAAATTTAGTGAACACGCTATTTAAAATGGATATATTCAAAAACTATTTCGAAGATTAAGCAATAAGGTATTCAATCATTCATCAGAAGTTGAAATCTGTAACGGTTATTTTTGCTTTTCGATGCATAATTTCTGCAAAATATGCTATTTTGATTCAGATAAATACCACCAAGCACTGAAAAAATATCTTTTAAAGAAATAAGATGTAGAGGGTGAGGCAAAAGTCACGCACCATTCGGATAATTCATTAAAAGTATAATTACAAATGAAAATTTTATTTACTAGTTATTTGTTTGTTTTATGTGCTGTCCAAAATGTCCTCCTTTTTTAGAACAACTTTCAATTCTGTGACTGATTCATTAACACGTCGGGGAGTTTCCCCTGTCACTTTACTGCATTCTTTAAGTTCCTTAATATTTCTTGGGCGTGTCTGATATACAACAGATTTCAAATAGCCTCACAGAAAAAAAATTCAAGGGTATGAGTTCTGGTGACTTCGAAGGTCACTCAACGTGTCCTCTTCGATCTATCCATTTGTTGTTCCTGAAAGATAAGAAAATATCAAAACAAATTAGACGTGATTAATTAATTAAACAGTAAGGTGCGTCAATTTTGCCTCACCCTGTATATTTATGAGATTATATTATTGTTGTGGGACTCTCCCCTTTTTACATAAGATGGACTCGTCCAAAGTATATTTATACTGACAGAGAAAATACCTGCTGTTGAGATACATGGAGATACAGTCTCTGACTGTGTCCGACGTCTGTCGAACTGTCTGCTTTGCCATTGAGGAACCCGGACGAAGCTTTACCGAAGGGCAAGGTTTCGTCTAGGGAGGTAGACAGACCCTGAACCCGTCCAGGCGGGTTCAAAGGGTATATTTTTGGCCGAGCCTACAGGCCCGGTGAAACCCACTTTAAACTCGGCCTTGTGCCACATATATTCCTCGTAGGTGGGATATTAAACACTGAGATACGTGGAGATACGTTGAGATACGTTGAGACAGGGTGTTCTCAGAGATTTATACAAGAGTCCAGAGAAAGAGAGAGAGAGAGAGAGAGAGAGAGAGATAATTACGGCTTTACTTAGAGAGACTTGTACATATACTTTCTACTAACCTGCATTCCTGGACTACTAATCTTCACTTCAAGTCTGTATTCTTACGTTTATTACACTTATTTTTCTATCACAATTACTGGTGTTGTTTATTTATTTGGGCAGGATTCCAATCACGGAATCCACAACAATTATCGAAGTATTCAAGAAATTTAGAACGTCTATGCCTCGAAATGGTTCCCGGCGGACTAAGCAAACAAAGATGAAGTTGCATCCAGCGGAAGATGGAAGATGAGGCCTACTCTGCAGGTTTATGTTTTCAAAATCTATCAAGATAAAATTCATCAGTAATTAAGAATGTGTGACAAATGGTAGGGTCTATTCATTACATGTAGCAGTCGTTTTTTGTCTATGTTGAAGAATGATTATTTTAAAACCAGAATTACGAATGCACATTGTAATGGAAATCCGGCAAAAAATGTCTTATTTTGGAAATTGGCGCAGCAAAATCTACTTTCCTCCAACTGAAAATTATCTTTTTTGTTTCTTAGGAAACTGTTAAGGAATGAAGTAACATATGAAAAAAGAATAAAGAAACAGATAATGAAGGAAAATTGAGTAAAGGAAAAAATCGGTGAGGTACAAGGAATAAAGAAAACATACTGGAGGAACAAGGAACAAGGAATGGAGGAACACGGAGTGAGGGAACAAATAATGGAGGAAAATGAAGTGAAGGAATAAACCATTGATGTACAAGGAATAGAGAAAACATACTAAAGGGACCTGGAATGGCGGCAAACGGAGTGAGGGAACAAATAATAGAGGAACACTGAGTGAAGGAATAAACCAGTGATGTTCAAGGAATAGAGAAAACTTACTAAAGGAACCTGGAATGGAGGAACACGGAGTGAGGGATCAAATAATGGAGGAACATGGAGTGAAGGAATAAACCAGTGATGTTCAAGTAATAGAGAAAACTTACTTATTGAACCTGGAATATAGCAACATGGAGTGAGGGAACAAATAATGGAGGAGCATGGAGTGAAGGAATAAACCATTGATGTTCAAGGAAAAGAGAAAACTTACTGAAGGAACCTGGAATATAGGAACATGGAGTGAGGGAACAAATAATGGAGGAACATGGAGTGAAGGAATAAACCAGTGATGTTCAAGGAATAGAGAAAACTTACTGAAGGAACCTGAAATGGAGGAACACGGAGTGAGGGAACAAACAATGGAGGAACATGGAGTGAAGGAATAAACCTCTGATGTTCAAGGAATAGAGAAATGTTACTGAAGGGACCTTTTATGGAGGAACACGGAGTGAGGGAACAAATAATGGAGGAACATGGAATGAAGGAATAAACCATTGATGTACAAGTAATTGAGAAAACTTACTGAAGGAACCTGGAATGGAGGAACACGGAGTGATCGAACAGATAATGGAGGAACATGCCGTGGCGGAATAAGCCTCTGATGTTCAAGGAATAGAGATGAAGGTTGGAATGGAGGAAACGGAGTGAGGGAAAAATAATGGAGGAACATGGAGTGAAGGAATAAACCAGTGATGTACAAGGAATAGAGAAAATGAAGGGAGGAACACGGAGTGAGGGAACAAATAATGGAGGAACATGAAGGAATAAACCTGTGATGTGGAGAGAGATAAAACCTCTGGAGGAATGAATGGAGAAACACGGAGTCATGGAACAGATAATGGAGGAACATGGAGTGAAGGAATAAAACCAGTGATTTACAAGGAATAGAGAAAACTTACTGAAGGATCCTGGAATGGAGGACCTGAAATGGAGGAACATGCCGTGGAGGAATAAACCTCTGATGTTCAAGAATAGAGAACAAATGAAAAGGAACACGGAGGAGGGAACAAATAATGGAGGAACATGGAGTGAAGGAATAAACCAGTGATGTACAAGGAATAGAGAAAACTTACTGAAGGAAGCTGGAATGGAGGAACACGGAGTGAGGGAACAGATAATGGAGGAACATGGAGTGAAGGAATAAACCTGTGATGTACACGGAAGAGATAAAACTTACTGGAGGAACCTGGAATGGAGAAACACGGAGTCATGGAACAGATAATGGAGGAACATGGAGTGAAGGAATAAACCAGTGATTTACAAGGAATAGAGAAAACTTACTGAAGGATCCTGGAATGGAGGAACACAGAGTGAGGGAACAAATAATGGAGGAACATGGATTGAAGGAATAAACCATTGATGTACAAGTAATTGAGAAAACTTACTGAAGGAACCTGGAATGGAGGAACACGGAGTGATCGAACAAATAATGGAGGAACATGCCGTGGCGGAATAAGCCTCTGATGTTCAAGGAATAGAGAAAACTTACTGAAGGAAGCTGGAATGCAGGAACACGGAGTGAGGGAACAAATAATGGAGGAACATGCCGTGGAGGAATAAACCTCTGATGTTCAAGGAATAGAGAAAACTTACTGCAGGAACCTGGAATGGGGGAACACGGAGTGAGGGAACAAATAATGGAGGAACATGGAGTGAAGGAATAAATACTCTTAGAACAAATCATGGATGGACGAGGAATGAAGTAAGAAATAAAGAAGGAACAAGGAACGAATGAAAAAATAATGGAGGGACAAATAATGCGTGCAATGATGAAGGAAAAAGGAACAAAGCAATGAATATTTGCGGAAAGAAAAAATAAGCAAGAATGATTTTTCACCCATGTTCGTTGTGACTTTATTTTAGTTGTTTATTTTTCAAAATATTTATGATTAAAATCTTTGACTTAATTGACATTTTAACCACATATCTCAGCTAACAACAGGGATATTGTTCAATGTCTCGTCTCATCCTGCAGTTCTAAATCTGAACAAGACTGAGTAGTTCCCTTTTTGTCATTCCTAATTTGTAGGATCACGCACTCTACAGTTCAAAGCGGAACATCTACTGTATAAGTTATTTACTGATGATTCACTCCATTTTCAAATCGATGAACAACACGACGGCTTTTGAAATATCATGATTCCAAGCCACTTCGAGTAAGAGGCATTGTTAAGAATATTTATACTTAGTTCACTTACGGTTTTTTATATATAAGCAATGTCGACGTCTTAAAGGGACACGGCATTTAACTAAAATGTATATATGTAAATTAAACAAAAATATAGACCTTAATTAAATGTCATAGTGTCAAATCTGAGAACAATAAACGTGTCTGCTTGCTTTCCCGCATCAATCTCTGTCCACAGACAGACGCTTATATATATATATATATATATATATATATATATATATATGTGTGTGTGTGTGTGTGTGTGTGTGTGTGTGTGTGTGTGTGTGTGTGTGTGTGTGTTTATTCCAAAGTAAAAAAGAGTGAGAAAGGTTGTAGAGTCTCAAGTGAATATATATACAGATAGAGAGAGCAACACTTATAGGAACATATATTAATTAACAGATATTTATGGAGGCAGACTAATCGTCGAGTATAAAAAGAGAAACGACAGTGGCAAAATGCTCTACAGACATATCGACTTGAGTATAGTACGAGTTTTTATAATGATTGTTTTTTTCAGTCCTGTGTATGACGATAAACGGCAAGGCCTCCTATTGGGAGATTGGAGGTTTTGAAGAACGTGGAACCACCTCTTAATTGCTATTGTTTCCAGGTCCACCCTGACCCGTGGTGGTAGCATCTTTTCGGGTCCTAACTATAAGCAAATAGTGAACCCCTAAACAAAACTAAAACCATGAAAGTATAAAAATATATTTTATATAAAAATACCAACAATTCATATTTATATTAAAACTAGCAGCATGGCCCGTGCTTGATCAAAAAATCGTACGACTCATACAGCAATCGCTATCACTTGACTTAAAATATTTTTGCCCCTCCTTGCCTTTAAAGGAGTGCCCTTTGTATGTTGATATTGCTACTTGCCTTACTTCTTGCCTATCTCACACTGCGATTTTTTCTAAGCTCTATACTAAACATTAAATCTGTTACGAAAAAAAGAACTAAACAAAATGAACACAAAACGATCAGCTTTAAAAAAAGGACTCGTAACTGAAAAAATCGAATGAAAAAAGAATTTTAACAACAAATACTTTTTTCATACCCAACCCAGTTCTGCGGAATCAGAATCAACGTTGAGTTTAAGCAAACGAATGAGCCAATTAAGGTAAAGTGCCATGCAGATTTAAATTTTTCCCACTTGTGATGAATGCAGCTATCGATTTTTTTTGCATGCTAGCATGCTAGTTAATATTCGTGTCAGTCAGCTGTTGGCTCTCACGCTGGCCAATAGAATATTCCTGCCTATTCGTGGCAGTCAGCTATTGGCTCTCACTCTTATCAGTACAAAATGGCCGCAAACTACATGTAAAGTGCCGTAGAAGCATGAAAAAATCGATTATTCCCACTATCGATGGGAGTTGGGAAATGCAAAGTCGGTCTTGGCCTTCCCACTAACTTGGAGCATGTGCATGTAAATTTTGGTGCAAATCCGTCGAAAATTGCGGCCGCGCATTCGTTACACACACATCCTGCCTTTTATAGATAGAGATTACCAACAATACTTCTTTATATTAAAATTACCAGAAATGCAATTTTATGGTATATATTTAGTTGAAGCCATAAAACAGTGTTCAAAATATTTAGATTTCAGCTTTAAATTACTCATAGAGTTTGATATGCCACTAAAGAAAGAAAATCAATCAAACCAAACAACGAATATGACAAAATTCTCTCATGACATTAATCCCCAATTTCTTTAAAAAAATTAATCTGTATTCTAAAATATAACAAAACTACAACATAAAACTTGCATATGACTGCTTTTAATAATCATGCCCGCACAAACTTGTATATGCACAAAACCATGTATTCATTCCTGAATGCAGAATAACATAACATATATTTTTATTACTTCAAAACTCCCAAGAAAATTAAATTTCAGTATTAAATGACCCATAAGAAGTTGATGTGCCTTTAAACAAAGAAATCAAATCAAATGTTTGTTTTTTTTTACGCAAAAAAATAGGCGTTGTATTATACACATATATTTTTTTCTGAAGAGGTTAAAAATAATTAATTTTCGATGACCGGTTGCACATACAAAGGTAAAGTTTTTATATAGGGGTTAAAATTCATGAGTTTTCAATGACCGTCACCTACCTGGTAGGCCTACATTCTCACGGTACCTTTGGCTAATCTTAACGGTGCAGGTAAGGTGTTTTAGCCTTCCTTCCGTAGACTAGTCTTGAAGGAAAACGAAAGTACCTTACATAAATCTTCGTATCATATATTTTAGGGTAATCGGATTTTCTAAAAAAAAAATAAAGACCATTTACTTGCTATAAAATATGTCCAGGGTGATGCCCAGTACTGCAATATTTGACTAAGTGAGGACTACTGACATTGAGCAGAAGCTGGAGTCATATTACACACGAGATATATAAAAAAAACATTCAGAGGTCACATTATGCATTCAGTAGACTTATACATGAGTATATACGGTATAAAATACCATATACAGAGTGTTCCAAACGTCATCGAGGTATTTTTTTATATTTGTCTTTCTTTCTTTCTTTCTTTCTTTCTTTAAATATTAACATAATATAGGTAATTCCACTATGTTAATCGAAGGTATTAAAAAAGTATACCTAAAAGTATGAAAAATATCGAGGTGACTTTCGTAACATCCCATCTGTGTTAGTGTGTCTGTCTGTCTGCCTGTCTCTCTCTCTTTCTCTCTCTCTCTCTCTCTCTCTATATATATATATATATATATATATATATATATATATATATATATATAATATTTAACATATATTGTTAAATATAATAGACAACGAATGTCTGTTATGTTTGATCATGAGCCGTTCTAAGCGTTGTATAGTGGCTTTTAGTTTCGGGGAGAAATAAAGACAAAACTCTTTACAACATTCAGATAATTTTTTTTATTATACAGTTCCACGATCTAAGCTGTCGGCAACGAAACTAAAGCCACTATGCGAAGCTTAGAAAGGCTCATGATCTTAACAAACATTCGTTGTCTGTTATAGATAGATAGATAGATAGATAGATAGATAGATAGATAGATAGATGTTGTCAGTTCCCGGCTAACGACAGTCCCGACTACGACGATTCGTGGTATCGGCACGGTGAATAATGCATCGCCAAATGAAGCTCAGTTCCTGGTTGTACTCACATTGAACTATTATGCATTCGCTCTCTTTCATTGTGTTTGTGAAAACGCATTGCCCTTTACTATGGCCACCCCAATAATGGCGGTATTTCAAGAAAAAAAAAGAAAGCTGTCACTACGGACGAACTGCATTCCTTGGTCCCGCCAATTCAAACATTCAAGGCTATGACCCACCATGCCACTTACATAGTAAAAAAGCACCCACATTCCCTCCGTATTCCATTGGTGAGAAGTAAGCTCCACCCTAAAAGCTTTTCCCCACGAAGTGCTGCGGAACCGATTTCCAACAGGATGTTTCCCCTATCTCAACAATCTTAACTGATCAAGGCTAGCGTTAACTGCTATCTTCTACTCCTATTCGCACAAACAGCCTCCTATCGTAACCCTCTACAACGAGTAACCCCGGGGCCTTTTTGCAATTAAATTAAGAAGACCTCATTCTGTGCAAGCTAAAGGTGAATTTTAGCTGTTCCCGTCTTCTCCTGGCTGAACACTAATCATTCTTCATATGTTTTTTTTTTGGTTATTTTTATCTCTATTTTCCATTGGCTGATTGATCCAGAAGTGACTTGACCCAAAGAGTTGTGTGTTCAATACCTGGCCACGGCAGACAGAACAATAACTTGGAGATTTGTATTATCAAGCGGAATTAGTCCAAACTAAGATACCCCAAATCATGGCACCTTGAATTAGAATAATCTACTCCCGTGAAATAAATACAGGGTTCGATTCAAAATTTCAACAAATATTTCCAGAAGAAATCTGGAGCGTACAACGGTTGAATTGTCGTGAATATGGGAATAAAGATGAGTACAACAGTCCGACCAATGTAAATAGTGTAAATATTTACAGTACCTCAACTCAGAAATATAGACAAATAAGCGCATCGTTTCATTTTGGAGCATAAATACACTTTCTCTTTAAAATTGTTGGCTGTTGCTTATACACGTCGTTTATTTTTCTCTGCCTTTGTATATGTGTCTGTCTGTAGATTTGACATGAATGATTGTGACCTCTAAATATTTTATCCCGTTCATAGATTCGACTTTTTTTTTTTTAAATCAAATGCCAGCAATTCGATTATCGAGATGCCTTTTTCGCCATTTCTCTTTTTCTTTTTTTTTTCTTTTTTTTGATAAATGGAAATATTTTATTTTCAATAGTGGTTTTAGTTTATTTTCGGTTTTTCAAACGAACTTTTTTCGTTTTTATTTCTTCCTTCTCCTTTTTCTTTAATTCTTTTTCTTTAATTATTTTCCTATCTTTTTCTATCTTCTTTCTCTATCTTCTTTATTATTTATATATTCCAGTCTAATTTTCACGGATGATTCATAATTTTAATATAATTTACATCTATAAGCCAAACATTTTCAATAAAATCGTTAACTACCAAACATTCAGGAAATCGATCATCCCTATCGAGACCATATATCCATTTCTCTCTCTCTCTCTCTCTCTCTCTCTCATATATATATATATATATATATATATATATATATATATATATATATATATATATATATAAATGCACACATGTTTATTTTTTCCTCATTTTTTGCTCATTCTATATCCGAAGCAGTTTGATATATAGAAAGAAATATATTGCATATATATATATTTTTTTTTTTTTTTTTTTTTTTTTTTTATCAGATGTATATATTTTCGAGATGTGGTATTGTGACTATTTAAAATATTTACATTAATTGGGCTGTATACTGTCAGACGGATGACGTTACGATACGCTCTAACATCCTTCAGGTGATATTTTGGGGAATTAAATTCACTGTTCTTTCTTTCTGATAATGTCGTGTATAGACGTCTGTATTTACAAAAATCGACACATGTTTTACACTCATAAAATAAATTCAAAATTATTTTTTAAAATGCTGGAAGTTGCTGAACTGTAGTGAGCTTTTCCATTTATGATTAGCAAATACAGTTTTTAATTAATAACAATATCACTTGACCGATAGAGATTGATACAGAATTTTAAGATTTAAAATTTATAAATTATTCTAATTAAAATTAGTGATATGTTTTTCAGATAAACAGTTTACTGCTAGGTAATATGTCAATATGTGTTAAGGCATATCGAGGCGGTGAACAATTATGACTGAGTAGTGAGTTCGATCCTCACTGGGTGCCCCATACTTTAAGCCTTGTGCCACACCTAAGCTATGCTTAGAAAGTCATTATGTCAGTATATGTTGACTCTTTACCAAACTACCAAATAATCAAATAATATTCTAATAACTGAGGCAGATTTATTGATCGTAATCGGTGAATATAGAGACGATAGATAAATTACTATTTCAATGCCTTCAGCAAGTTCAGGATCTCTATGACAATCAAACGTAGTCTAGGCGCAGACATTTCTTGATATCATGTAACATTGAATGATTATTTTAAATTCTCAAAGTCTTCATCGTCAACACTCGACAACATCACCTACGAAAGTTGTCACAGATATAATCTGCATAAATGCTATTCACATGAGGAGTTTTGAAGAGATGAGGATGTGCCAGTTGCGTAGGGGATTTTGGCGCCGAAAATGGAATCGGCAAGTCGAATTGAGATTCCAGTCTACATTGCCGCGCTCATTTTTGCACTAATGGGAAAGACATGAATCATTCTCTTGTTTTTCTACAGCTCTGGGGAAAATAGCATAGTATACAGGACTATGGAGCTTTGGATCGCAGCCTGTCTACGAGTAAAACGACTTCAAAACCACGGTGAAGGCAACTGGAAACCACTCCACTGTAATTCTGAAGAAGGCCTGGTAATTCAAAAATAACACAGATAAGGAATCTGTGGGGAATCACTTTGCCGTAAAGGGATATGAGATTTAATAAGTGTAAATGAAATTCAAAAAACTTTCTAAGATATACATGTGTAGATATATTTCTATATTGAGACAATACTAAATAGTTTCTAAAAGTTAATTTTTATAATTGTTCTTCACAGATAACCGTTTTTCTTTTCCATACATTGGCCAACTGTGATTTGCTAAAAGTATGAAATCACTTCCTGTTCAAATGATAACGTTAAGATTGTATTTACAATAAAATTGATCGTTATGTATTCAGAGTTAGTGACTTTTATATTGATTGGTTCGGTTTTTACGGCCTTTGCCGGTTATTGAAAGCCAGAAAATATTTTAGAATATTTGATTGATTCGTGTGTTTGTTTTGATTCAACAATTTACAAATATTTTCTGGCTTTAAATAATCTTCAAATATTTTTAGATCGTAATGATTTGTTAAAATTTTTTGAGTTAATAATGGCTTGGTGATAGAAGTGTTATTAATTAATCCATAGCTAGAGTGAGAAAGAGTAGATTCATATCTAAAAAAAAGATTGATAAAAAAAAGAAGTTATGATGTGGATATAAAGATTCGGATCAATTCTATGTAACAATTAATATATAAACTGACCCCTCACTTTATGACCACGTAGTTTCTGTACATTTACATTTTTGATAATGTAAATTAAACTAAGACATGCCTGCGTACTGATTGATTCGCTTTTTACGGATTATCAACACTTTGCAGGTTATTTAAAGCCAGAAAAACATTTTTAGATTGTAAGAATTTCTTTTTTTACATAATAAAGGTTTAGTGGTACAAATCTGATTAAGTGGGAGAAAACGTGGATTCGTACCTTTCCAAGGGTAATTACGACTAAAGTATAACGAACCGACCGGAAATTGGAATTCGGCTCATTGTTTAACAATTCTGAACAATTACACGCTTAAAGCACTTGTCCCAAAGTAGTCACCCATCGAGGTACGATATTGCTTAATTTCGGTGATCGTACGGGAACCGGTGTTGCAACGTGACGTGATCGTTTTTAATGTTGCTGTTTCTTTTCTATTGTTTAAATATCATGGATTTAAGTGCAATACTAGTTGCACTGAGAATAGAGTGAGGACAGATTTTCGAAGCACAGGTTTTCCATTCTAAAGTCACTTCCTTTCTGAATCAGACAAAACGAAGGCCTTTAGTTTTGAAATATATTTAGATTAAATTTTTTTATCAGCATATTTTATACGATGCCACCATGTTTCAGTTCTGACAGTCGTACAAAATCTAAAAAAAGTAAATAAAAAATAAAGAGATTTTGAAAGCTATCGAAGTGAATTTGACTAAAATCTATATTATGTTACCAAGACATAAAATTTAAGCGCAGTACTAAACTAGCGTTGGGAACTCATCCGCTTAAATTTTTAAAAAGTCTAGGTAACATAATATGGATTCTAGTCAAATTCATTTTTGCAGATTAAATTTGGCTGGAAAGCATGGGCTGGGAGGGGATTTCACGAGCAAGAAGTGTGAGAAAAGAAAATTTTAGCATAGAATGTACGGCTACATCTGGCCATACAGTTGCTTTTGGCCAGATGTAGCCGTACATTCTATGCTCAAATTTTCTTTCCTCACACTTTTTGCTCGTGAAATTCCATTCTGGCCAAATTTAATCTGCAAAAATTTAAATGCAATGTCAATCGCTATCTACTGTCCTACTGATTAATTTTTTTTTTCTCCTCCCGCTCATTATTAATGTTTCTGTTCCTAATTCTTCCACACCCTGTAACCACTTGTGTCTTAATGCTTTATTTCCATTGAGCACCTCGATCAAATCCAAAGAAGAATCAGCAATATTATGGATCGGCTTGTCACTTTCCCACCGCCGTAAGGTTGTCTCTCTGTGTTATTTTATAAATAATTTCATAGTAATTGCTCGGATGAGCTCTTCACTATGGTATGGGGTTAACTTTTAGTTTTATTCCCCTCTCCCCCAACAGACAACGAATTGTAAATATGGGGACTAGTTAATATTTTCATAGAGACAAAGAGGTATTATGGTGGTTGTAGTAAGAAAGGTACGAATGAATGTGTTGTTTTGGTGTAAGGAATATTGTTTCGTAAGATTGGGTCAGTGTTTGCGGCTAGCTAAGTTATAGTTAAGACAGAAGAAGACCGTCCTTTCCCCAATCCCCTTTTCGGCCTTGTGCCACATTTCTGTATTAAACAGAATAAATATCGCTATTCACTATGGTACTGAGATTTTTTTAAAAATTTCAATGCAATACTAAACTGGCGTTGGGATCTCATTAATTTACAGATGAGCTTGTTAGATGGAGCCAATCAATGTATCTATTCCTAATTCTTCTACACCCTGTGATCCCTTGTGCCTTAGTGGATTAATGCCTTTTTGGGGGGTGATACCGATTAATATATATATATATATATGATTTTCCAATAACTTGGACCGATTTTAATTGTGAATTAAGTTTAAGCGTCTAATGATTTTCTTCTTTTTCTTTCAGATTTAACAACTTAAGTTTTTGGCAATTTCAACCTTGGAAAGATTAACAATGAAACAACGTATTAAAGCTATTGAAGCCTATTACAAAAATGGAAGATCAAATTCATAAATATATGGTGCAATGATTCCGCTCGCAAAAAGGCACACCAAACAGTGACCTTTTGTGGATGCAGTGGCATTTTTAACAATCTTCCTTCGACTTTCATCAGCCCAAATGTGACATTTCTGCTCATTAATGAAACCATCAAGTTGAAAATGGGAATCATCACTAAAGAGAATTTTTTGCGAAAAATCTTCATCGGTATGTCTTTGCTCGTGCACCCAATTGACGAATGTACGGTGTGCTCTAAATGGCTAACAGGTTTCAGTTCTTTTGTCAATTAAATTTTGTAAGGGTGTAGAGACAAATGTTTTGTCAAAATTCGATGTAATTTTGTTGTGGAGAGGTTCAATTCCTGCGCGCGATGATGAATAGAAGTGTCTGGATTTTTGGCCGCATTCTCGTACACTACAACAACGTTTTTAGATGGACTACATAAACGAGCACAGAATGGTGTTTTCACATATGCCACCGACACAGTTTGTTTGAATTTACGAACAATTTTTCCAATTTCACTCTCTGTTGTTCGATTGATCAAAAAAATCGTGAAGTACGCGAAATGCATTTCTGTTTGTACGTCCATTTTCGTAATAGACTTCGATAAATTTAACACGTTGTTTGATTGTTAATCTTTCCATGGCTGAAATTGGCAAAGACTTGAGTTGTTAAATCTGAAAGAAAAAGAAAAAATCATTACACACTTAAAATTAATTCACTTTTAAAATTGGTCCAAGGTATTGGAACACCATATAGGATTGTGTATATAGAATAAATTCCAGTAACCAAAAAATACTATTCTTGAAAGACTGCTCAATACAGAGTAGTGTTCTACATTCAACACCATCACTTGATAAGACATCAAAAGTGTTGAAACAAAATGGCTATTTTCGTAGGGATTTTATAACATATTTATGTTATAATTTTCGAATAAATAATTAAATATATATATATATATATATATATATATATATATATATATATATATATAAACGTAGATGCATATAGAGTGCTAGCTTCGTAGTAACATTATATATAGTGGGGTTACGTGTTTGGGCTGTGAAGCAAAGACGGAAATAATGCCAAGATAGTTAATTATCAAAGACAAAAATGCTTTCTGAGAAGGAGGGTTCTCGCATCCTTCAGGTTAATATATTAACCATTTGAGAATAAATATTTTTTAACCAACGGATCGCGTTCCCACCGACAATAAAAAAGAAAATATTCTTCCTGATTCCTTTTAAGAGTATTTAAGCAAAGCTTCTAGACTAGACAGTAAGTAACGGCAACAGACGATAACTGTTCACGACACAGCTTAAAAGTGATTCCTTTATTCATTTGCCCGTCTTTCCAACGAAGCTACGTGACATTTACACTTTTCCTCTCCCTTGCCATTTCTTTCACACATATATGCAAAGAAATCACGTTTCTTTCCATCTTAACAACTACAAACAAGGAACTTTAACACAAGAACTTTAACAGTCATACAAACTGAAAAAAATCGTTGCAAAAAACACGAAAATAAAAATATTCTATATTTTTATAATTAAAAAAACAATTTCCTCGCCTTTTTCTTTGTTGTGGGTTGATTCTATTCTGCGACAGGACAATGAAAACTTCAAAATAATTTGAAGGGCATAGAAATGTTAATTTCATTGTTCATCAATAAAAAGCAGGTGCACCCACTAGAAATAACATTATGCACCCATTATAAACTATATATATATATATATATATATATATATATATATATATATATATATATATATAGTTAGTTTATGCAAAACTAGGTAATCCGTATGGGTAGACCCAAGGAGGATGATATCCAGAGAGCTCAATGTAAATTCAGAGCAAATATGTTTGAATAAAAACAGACCATTTTAAGGTTCCATGTAATAAGTAATTTCACCACAACCCTTTTAAAGGACTCTGGATCAACAGACTTTACTTCCAAATGTTGAAAAACCTTTGGAAGTAAAGTTTGATGATCCAGAGCCCTTTAAAGGTGTTGTGGTGAAATAGCTTATTACATGGAAACTTAAAATAGTCTGTTTTTATTTTATATATTTTATATATTATATATATATATATATATATATATATATATATATATATATATATAAAAGAAAGAGGTTGTAGTTGTTCCAACGAGAGAGAAGTATGTATATTAAAAAGAAGAGAAGAGAGGTGCCGCAAACGTTTTTGGTTGTAATGTGTTTTTTTTTTTAGAAAAAAATATTATGCTTTATTTTCCATAATTTTACTACACGTGTTTCTGGTCTCGTGACCGTCTTCAGGTAAAAGCGGAGATTTCCACATATTATTAAAAATGTTAAATATTCTCGATATGAGACATTCTCTGTTTTTGTGTTAGTAATCCGAATGTCTTTCTTGAATATATATATATTGATGTAACAGAGAGATATCCCCGCTACCAGGTGGGTTTATTAATCAATGGTTCTAAAGGATTTCAAAGAAGGTACTAATTAGTTGGGTAGAAGGGATTCCGGAGTAATTACAGAAATAAGTTTTTCTTTTTACTTAGTTGTTTCTGGGATTGAATTATTAATTAACTAGGTGAATTAATTCCAGAGTAATTAATGGACGGGTTTGTTAGGTAAAGCTTGTGATAAATGGTGAACTGGATTTTGGGTGATTGCCGGGCGAAATCCAGCCAGAGCCCTCAGACGAGATAAGTGCTTTTCGCCGGGCTTAAGTGGACGTTGTCTGAGGAAAACCCAGCAGGGAGTCCGAATCCGATTTTAGTACCTCTTGAAAACTGGGTTCCCGCGGAGCTTCGGAGATCCGACGGAAAACACATGGTGGTCCAGGCGATTTGCATATTAAAATTCGTGGGCGGTGCCTAAAAGCTGTTTAGCTACGCTTCTCTATATATAAGCTGTCTGCACGCTTGCGTTGAACAGATGAGATCGGAGATCAGATCAGATAGGATCGGAGAACGCGTCGGAACGCGAGAGAAGCGGCAGACGCGGCATAGGGAGAGAGAGAGAGAGAGAGAGAGAGAGAGAGAGAGAGAGAGAGAGAGAGAGATAGCAGATCAGGGACCGCGAAGGAAAACGTCAAAAAGTCCGAATCGTACCCAGGGATAAATATCGAACCCGTGCGAATCCTGATAATTTCCTCAACAAAGCTGAGAAAATTCGACTGCTATATCGGAGGGGGCGGACGAGGAACCACGACTTATCTCCCTTAGTACAGCCGAATTTCGACCGACATAATTGTGTCTTTCTCTCTCTGTGACGTTCCGACCCAAACGAGTGAATCTCGTTAAGACAGTTTGTATTCGTGCAATTTCGTTGGTAGTGATATAAAAACAGTAGCCTTAAAGGGCTCTTTGTACAGGAACCGAAAGTGTTGTTTATATTTTTTTCTTTCTTTGTGCCCTTGCGGTTACGACAAGAGCCTCTCTGCACAAATAGCGATTTCTTTTAGCGTGGAACCCAGCTATTTAATTCATTCTACCTCTGGATCGTTCTGATAAAAAATTCACAACGTGACGGATAGTGGTGGTTCCTTCAGTTCACCGGGGGAGAACCGGGTGGTTTACTTTTTGGTCAGAAACACCGGAGAGACAGGACAGAGCTGTAGCAGGCAGGGCTTCTACGTCAGATTGATACATCTATCATTAAATAATATAGAAAAGTTTTGTCTATTTATTTTAAGTAAATTTATTTCATATTGTCTGATAAGCTTAATAACATTATCATTAAAAGATAAAAGAAAATCATCATATTGATACATGTTTTTTAATCCTATCTAAGTTTTCGGCTTACATAAGCCATTATCAAAGATGACAATTACATTTCAATACATTAACCAATACACGGACAAAACAATAATAAAACTGTTTTTGTTGCATGAAAGATTTCCAAGCAACGACAAACTCGTGTATACGAGACGCGGAAGCGAATATCGCACAGCAGCTCGGGACGTCACACATGACCACGCGAGCGTGAAAACGAGTAGTATTAAGTATGGGAAGCCGTTGGTATAAACCAATGACTTCTGTTACCAATTATAGGCATTCAAGAATATTTGCAGAGATTCTATAGTTTATTTTGTTCCGGTTAGGTTTCAACTGTTTTATGTATAAAGCTTCAAGAATTTTTAGTTTTTATTTATTGTTTTCATGTTTAAGTATAGTTGTGTTTTTAACGAGGATTTTCCGGAATTGTGTATGCGGCCAGACATGTTGTTTTAAATATATATATTAGATGACGTACGCGGTAATCCCAGGGAAATCGGATGTTATCCTCACATCTCATTCTCATATTCTTTCTTCGGTTATCCGAAAGTAACAATTCAAAGTATGAAGGGCTTTTGTGCGTTGACGGAAAATACCCAAGCGCTGCCCCTAGGTAGTAAATACCAATAAGTTGAGTATACGACAACCGTAAAGTGACTTACGTACTAATAGGCTAATAGGTTATCCGAATGTAACAATTCAAAGTAAGTAGCCCTGAAAAATCTTTTGTGTGCTTACAGAGAATATAGCCCTTACGAGTGTTAGCGTTAAAAAAATTTTACAATAGATGTGAAAATAGACTGACATATAGTTTCACAATAGACCTAAAATTAGATTTTTTTATATAGATTTACAAATAGAATAACATAGATTAACAAAAGATTTACAACTATATCAAATATTACAGTTAAATGATAAACACCTGATAAATGGGTGTTTATTAAGTTGATAAATTGATAAATAACATTTTTAGTCTTTCCGTTTGTAGTATTGTTATGAGATCTTACCCATAAAAAAAATAATGGACTATTCCATACTTAATAAAAACTGCGCCTCAGTCAGTAGGCGAGAGTCGGTCGCCCACTTTCTGAGCGAACGGTTCGGTTTAACTCTCTGCTTTCGGGCGGGAGGAACCCGAAGGAGGCTACGCCGAAGGGCGGAGTCTCCTTCGGGGAGGTAAAACCGGCCCTGAACCCGTTTATACGGTTTCAAATGGGCTATTTTTTGGCCGAGCCTAATGACTCGGAAATGTCCACGTTAAAAAGGCCTTGTGCCACATGACGCCCTCGTGGGGGGACGACTAAATATAGTCCGTCGCCCACTTTCTGAGCGAACGGTTCGGTTTAACTCTCTGCTTTCGGGCGGGAGGAACCCGAAGGAGGCTACGCCGAAGGGCGGAGTCTCCTTCGGGGAGGTAAAACCGGCCCTGAACCCGTTTATACGGTTTCAAATGGGCTATTTTTGGCCGAGCCTAATGACTCGGAAATGTCCACGTTAAAAAGGCCTTGTGCCACATGACGCCCTCGTGGGGGACGATAAATATAGTCCGTCGCCCACTTTCTGAGCGAACGGTTCGGTTTAACTCTCGTTACGGACGCAGAGGAACCCGAAGGAGGCTACGCCGAAGGGCGGAGTCTCCTTCGGGGAGGTAAAACCGGCCCTGAACCCGTTTATACGGGTTCAAATGGGCTATTTTTTGGCCGAGCCTAATGGCTCGGAAATGCCCACGTTAAAAAGGCCTTGTGCCACATGACGCCCTCGTGGGGGGACGACTAAATATAGTCCGTCGCCCACTTTCTGAGCGAACGGTTCGGTTTAACTCTCTGTTTACGGACGGGAGGAACCCGAAGGAGGCTACGCCGAAGGGCGGAGTCTCCTTCGGGAGGTAAACTGGCCCTGAGCCCGTTTATACGGGTTCAAATGGGCTATTTTTTTGGCCGAGCCTAATGACTCGGAAATGCCCACGTTAAAAAGGCCTTGTGCCACATGACGCCCTCGTGGGGGACGACTAAATATAGTCCGTCGCCCACTTTCTGAGCGAACGGTTTGGTTTAACTCTCTGTCTACGGACGCAGAGGAACCCGAAGGAGGCTACGCCGAAGGGCGGAGTCTCCTTCGGGAGGTAAAACGGCCCTGAGCCCGTTTATACGGGTTCAAATTGGGCTATTTTTGGCCGAGCCTAATGGCTCGGAAATGCCCACGTTAAAAGGCCTTGTGCCACATGACGCCCTCGTGGGGGACGACTAAATATAGTCCGTCGCTCAACTCTTGAGCGAACGGTTCGGTTTAACTCTCTGTCTACGGACGGAGAGGAACCCAAAGGAGGCTACGCCGAAGGGCGGAGTCTCCTTCGGGGAGGTAAAACCGGCCCTGAACCCGTTTATACGGGCTCAAATTGGGCTATTTTTTGGCCGAGCATAATGGCTCGGAAATGCCCACGTTAAAAGGCCTTGTGCCACATGACGCCCTCGTGGGGGGACGACTAAATATAGTCCGTCGCTCAACACTTGAGCGAACGGTTCGGTTTAACTCTGTCTACGGACGGAGAGGAACCCGAAGGAGGCTACGCCGAAGGGCGGAGTCTCCTTCGGGAGGTAGGGGCTCGGCCCTGAACCCGTTTATACGGGTTCAAACAGGGTATTTTTGGCCGAGCCTAATGGCTCGGAAATGCCCACGTTAAAAAGGCACTGTGCCACATAACGCCCTCGTGGGGGTACGACTAAATATAGTCCGCCGCTCACTTTCTGAGCGAACGGTTTGGTTTAACTCTCTGTCTACGGACGGAGAGGAACCCGAAGGAGGCTACGCCGAAGGGCGGAGTCTCCTTCGGGGAGGTAAAACCGGCCCTGAACCCGTTTATACGGTTTCAAATGGGCTATTTTTGGCCGAGCCTAATGGCTCGGAAATTCCCACGTTAAAAAGGTCTTGTGCCACATGACGCCCTCGTGGGGGGACGACTAATTATAGTCCGCCGCTCACTTTCTGAGCGAACGGTTCGGTTTAACTCTCTGCTTTCGGGCGGGAGGAACCCGAAGGAGCCTATGCCGAAGGGCGGAGTCTCCTTCGGGAGGTAAAACTCGGCCCTGAACCCGTTTATACGGGTTCAAATGGGCTATTTTTTGGCCGAGCCTAATGGCTCGGAAATGCCCACGTTAAAAAGGCCCTGTGCCACATAACGCCCTCGTGGGGGACGACTAAATATAGTCCGCCGCTCACTTTCTGAGCGAACGGTTTGGTTTAACTCTCTGTCTACGGACGGAGAGGAACCCGAAGGAGGCTACGCCGAAGGGCGGAGTCTCCTTCGGGAGGTAAACTGGCCCTGAGCCCGTTTATACGGGGTTCAAATTGGGCTATTTTGGCCGAGCCTAATGGCTCGGAAATTCCCACGTTAAAAAGGCCTTGTGCCACATGACGCCCCTCGTGGGGACGACTAAATATAGTCCGTCGCTCACTTTCTGAGCGAACGGTTTGGTTTAACTCTCTGCTTTCGGGCGGGAGGAACCCGAAGGAGGCTACGCCGAAGGGCGGAGTCTCCTTCGGGGAGGTAAAACCGGCCCTGAACCCGTTTATACGGGTTCAAATGGTCATATTTTTGTCCAAGCCTACGGACACGAAAACCCCACGTTAAATTCGGCCTTTTGCCACATGTGACTGCGTGGGGCAGTTACTAAATAGGGTCAGTCTTTCAAGTCTTGACCGGCTGTTCGGTTGAACTCTCTGCCTTTGGGCGGGGAGGAACCCGAACGAGGTTACGTCGAAGGGCAGATTCTCTTTCGGGGAGGTAAACCGACCCTGAACCCGATTATACGGGATCAATGGGCATATTTTTGGCCGAGCCCACGGGCTCGGAGATCCCACGGGCTCGGAGATCCCACGTTAAACCCGCCTTGTGCCACATGACGCCCTCGTGGGGGCTGACTGAATATCATCAGTACAAGTCGAGTCAGTAGTTCACGTCGAGTCAGAGTCAGTCCGAAAACAGAGTCGCGTTCAGACAATTACTGCAAGACATTGGAATAGTGATACTGGTCGAGACTACATTGTTCTCTCTACTAAACCTGATTGTTTCATACTAACACTTTCTACTTCTCTCTATATATTCCTGTTTGTAATATATCTGTGTTATTCCATATCCGCCTTCGAGTTCTTCTTTATTGGTTCTACCTTAGACTATCACCATGGTACACAGGAACCGGACCATAACAAGTATAAATATACAAATGATTGGGATTGCTGACTTTTGAACATCTCACATAATGTTGGCTATAGGAGAAAACCGTTTCTGCACACACCCAATGACTGCCCTTGAACCTTGTTAATGCTGATTGCAAATATTAGTTTCTCTGGCTAGAAAGATATATCCGAGGGAATAAGTGGTATTTTATTAATAAATACAGCCTTACCGCTTGCTTTGCCACTGAGAATTGTCGCCTCTAAGATTGTTGGCATGTTCTTAATTGTAAGTCGTGTGTCGTTACAAAACTTCAGTTGATCCAGTTTTCTTAGCAGCATTGCTGGTGATCCAATCATGAGGTGCAAGCTGTAATGCGGGGGGTCTGCTAGTGTTAAGGTATTAAAAATTTCAACTGGATAATTCACAGCTTCATCAGCGTTTACTACAGCGTCAATAGAATTGTAGATGCGACGCTTACCTGGCAAATGTTCCGGAAGGTTTGATATTCAAATCATCAACTACCACAGTCGTTTAAGTTAAAATGGCACGGGCTCTTAGGCAGTTGTGGTCTGTAAACCGATTCCTCAGTTTATGAAACACCCAAGTCATTAGTTCCTTTAAATCAGATCCCATATGTCCAAAAGGCAAAATGACTCAGTCACCCTGCTCGCCAACCAAAGTGCCATTACCAACACCCAATAGTTGCTTAGAAAATGTATCAGCTTCCTGATCATCACTAAGCTGCACTCTCATGTTAGTTGTGAATCTCAGCTTTTTCCCATTGCTCCACATGTAGGGAGACCTTACACTGGCGGTTACCTCGTCAGCTTTTGTTCCTTTCGGAATCACTGGAAGGGTTTGTCTCCCGCAAGCAAGACTGTTGTACCTCCCACGAGCAGTATGTTGTGTCTAATATCCTGACGTGCCGTGTCAAGTGCCTTGAAGGAACACTTATGGCTCATTGTCGCCTCATCCCAAATGATCAATTTGCAATCACTAATGAGTTTGCATTTTATGGAACCACGACAGATGTTTCAGGTTGCTTTCTCTTTCTTTGACAGCTCCAAAGGGGATTGGAAGCATGAATGAGCTGTGCGGCCGCCACTTAGCAAGGTTGCAACTATTCCATTTGACGCCACTGTTAGAGCAATATGTTTCAGTTTAGCCAGAAGTATGTTGTTGATAAATGTATTTCTATTTCCTACTGTGGCATCGAGGACGAACAGATATCCTCTTTCATATTCAATGCTCGAAATAATGGTGTTATAAAGGCCCAGTTGGTCCTCCATCAATTTGTGTTCGTTATCAGCTATATAAGCCGTGGTTTTCACGGTGTCCATAGCTGA